CTCTTTTTCTTACTCCTTTCTGAATAAAACTCATGAGCCAACGTATGAAATTCCGGTGGAAATGGCGACGGAATCTCAGTACGTCCTGGTCTGGAAACAGGACTCCGCAGGAATATGACGGAACAAGTGTTAAAGCTTACTTCCAGATATTCGGGGATGAATAAGAAAGGTTGCATGTAAGGTTTTGGTTTAAACGTGAGACCGTTTTCAGTCGAGGGTTCTGAAAGAAGGCAGACAGAAGACGGATTCACGGTAATGAGATCACCATCGGATGCCAAATATGATGGTGCGGATACCTAAGGTATTGTGTTGTAATGAAGGGTTGTTAATCATCTAGACGTGTAATTTAGTTAGAAGGTTAATGCGCTTAAACAAATTGAATGCACTACCTTTTTTCCATTGACGGTAACTTTTCCGTGAATAACCAATTGCCTCGCGGCCCAAATACTCGGGGCGAAACAACTTCTGAACACAATAAAGTCCAATCTCCTTTCCAAAGACGCGTAAGTTAAAACTGAAGTATGCGGTTGTTTACTTCCACTTGCGGTATCTTCACTTAATTTAATATTGGTAGTAGGTAAACGAGGGTTAAAGAGACGACGAAACTGTTTTTCGTTCAATTGAGAGCCATGGTAAGCTCTGGTATCTTTTTTTGCTTGCCATTTCTGTTGAAAGAGCGAACGATTTTGTATACGTGGTGGACGGGAGCCTCGACTGTGGAGGAAATAAAGATTTTTTTTGGACCATGTCATGCGAATTAAAGCTTTCCTAAAACTTTCGACGGGTTTGCGCATCGTTTCAACAATGAGTCGATGCTGATCAACATTTTTTTTGATTTATCTTCCGGAAAATCTAATGATTGGCTATTTTCATCTCGAAACGAGAAATCGATTTTATTTGAAACATGGAGTTACATGATTCTTCCCAGAGAAAACTCCAGATGAATCGAGGCGCAAGACAAAGAGCGAGTATACACACTGCCAATACGATTCAAGATCAAGAGCAAAAACGAAAAACTGTTTTCAAGGCCGTCTTGGATTCTCCGTTCACCGTAAAATGGTAAGTACTTTTATCCTGACCTTTGACAGAAGAAGGCAGAGTTAAGCAATCTTCCAAAATTCCAGGCCCGAAGTTTCTTTGTTGGATCAGAGATTTATATTAGATGAACTCTGCAGGTAAACATCCATTCTTCTTTTTACTACATAATGACTTCTTACAACGCGCACCTTATTTATTCTTAAGAACTTTACTGGCCGTTGGCAATTATCGTCGCCAAATGAAAGAAGCTAAACGTAATAAGTCTGAGAAAAAAAAAAATTCAGAGGGCAAAATAAAACAAGAATCCGTTAACGACCTTACTGAAGAAAACGTAGTATCAACCAAACCAAAAAGCATAGCACATCAATTCGGTCTTGTTATAGGAATCAATGAGGTGACAAAACATGTCGAACAGTCATATGATCAAGAGGTCATATCAAATTTTCAGCAAAGATGTGCACGAATTTCTTCTAATTCTAGTATGCTGGCTAAAAATCCAAGTTTTTCGAAAATGAAAGAACCTTTGCGAATTATTTTCGTTTGCAAAGCTGACATTTCCCCAGCACATCTGATTTCGCATCTTCCTATTATGGCAAGTATTGCTGATGTATTAATTGTTCCGTTACCAAGTGGATCTTCAAAAGTGATTTCAAGCCACATTGGAATTCCTACAGTGACAGTATTGGGAATAAAGGTAGGAACATGTATGCATAACGACTTCGCTCATATCAATTATATCGATCTTATTTTCTTTATATGGATATACAAAGAAAATATCACCAGAATTTGATAATCTCCATGTGTTAATTCGAGAGAAGGTAATGCCAGTTCATATATCATGGTTGGTACCTTTAAAAAATCAGGAAATTTCAAAGAAAAGGAAATGTTCAGATGAAGAATATGATGAACAAGAGGAAACTATAGCTGGACCGTCATCGTCTATTAAAGAACAAGGATTTAATAGGTCAACAGAACCAAAAATGTACACCAACTACTATCCAACTCAGATTAAACAACTTA